AATGCAAAAGTATCCTGCATATGATTTTAGTCAGTTGCATTTAATTAAATAAAGCAAAAATGTATCTGCAGCATGTAAAATGTCACTACCTGTACAAGTGGTTTCTTTGGTTTTGCTTTGAGAAAAATAATAACAAAGCAATGGAACAAAGAAAAGAGAAACAAGAAAGCGCCACATCCAGGTCCACGGAGGTTGAAAGTGCAGGGAGTAATCCATCAAATCTCTAATGTGTGCCATTATTTCCATTACAGTACTTCGTACTGAGAAAAAAAATGAGGTATTTCTTAGAAGGGGGAGGTTTGCTTTTCTAATTCAATGACACAGGAGCTAGCATCCCCGAGGTAAGGTTCAGCGGGAGCTCATCGCCAATGTGGAGATGCAGACACCGCAGATACGAACGATCCATCTCTCTGACACACGTGGGGCCTCATTTGGGGGCTGCCAGACACAGTCGGCTAGATGAGAATGTCACAGAAAACAGAAAAGAGAGCAATGGGCCGGGCTTATTATCGCTCCTATCTAGGAACAGTGCCACACAGTGATTCAGAGATAATTATTCTGACGTGAAGAGGTAGAAATTCCACCCATGGCCATGAAGATCCACACAGGCAGTTAAGGAGTTAAGGGAGTAGGAAACGGTGAGCCAGCCCAGGAAATATTTTTGATATAGGTGCTGAGTCATCTTTTCAGGTCCATTCAAGATTGATGATATGTTACCATCTCCCATCCCTCAAATTCTAAACAAACAAACAAACGACAGAAAACCGCCAAAAGCGAACCAGACAGCATCAAAACCCATGAAAGCCTGCTAATAGACACAACAATATTGGGAAAGGTAATGAAAATGCAGTGTGTAGGTAGAGATGGATTGAGTATAGCATATGGAGTAATTCAGTTCCAGTTTCATGCCTGAGGCTCCCTTACTGAAAGGATAATAACGTAGAGCAAAATACAAGTAATCCGGAACAGGCTGTCCGTATAAGGACTAATGGGTTTACACAGATAAACACAGGCAAGTGCAAGGAACATTGGATGGTCATTTGACGCTTTACGGCATGGAAAAGGTTTTAGGCTAGCTTCAAATAAGGAGCATTTGTAGTTAGCCCCTTCATTCCTTACCAAGCCTCATGACCACTTGTAGGAATTACATGGTTACTGTTATGCTTCCAGACCTGTGATTTGACCTGTGACCTCAAAATCTATATAATGTTATTTCTTCCTAAAAAGAGCCAATACTCTACAAAGGTTCTTGCCTCCCCCGTACACTCCCTGCCTTTAATTTTAAACAGAACTTCTTTGGGGGAAGAAGACAATTAGTGCAAAATCCATCAGAAGGCGTCTCAACCTGTTCTCCAGTCTCTAGCCAGGAACTCTCTGGAAGGAGGCCATTTAACTCTCATTATTTCTTAGGCCATGGCCTATTTTTCCAGGCTGTTGTATAAGGCAAATCCATTACTTCATTTCTCATAGCCTTTCTACAAAAGACAAAAGCAGACGGATCTTCCCAAACTCTGACAGAATATTGTGCACAGCCAAGTGGGCTGAAAATGTGGGCTGCCAAGTTGGCCAGCACAGCTCCTGTATCATTCTCTTTCCAGAGTTTCAGCAATAACAATGAGACTGACCCCTAACAAATGTGGGGGTTGGGGGGGCTTATATGTTCCTACTTAGACAGAGCCATGACTCTCTGAAGCAGGCAAGGGACATTTCCATCAAGACTGTCCTCTTCACATGGTATGGTCTGGAAACCAACATTTACAAATAAATAATGCTGTCATATTTATTTACAAACACATAACTTTATGCTGAGGAGATATAAACTGAAATGACTTAAGTCATCGCCATACAAAATTCTTTTATGCTCACACTCTGCAGACAGCTAATGCATTATCTGTGCTCCTCACAAGCATTCTATGATCATTACACTAACAAATAGCTTCATTTTTGAGTGTTTGCCAAGGTTGTGATAAGTCTTGTACATGATCACCTACTTCTCATTATTACTCTGAAGTTACTCTGAATCTGCACTGGAAAATACTGTAGTTCAATGCTCAGATACTTGTTCCAGCTAATGGTGATAGGTAGAATCATTACTTCCTCTCAGAAGAGAGCTGTTTAAATGTCTCCTACTATAACACTGCTTCTTCATAATTTCATTGCTTTTAAGATGGTCAATCACAGATATTCCAGCCTCATTTCTTTCATCCACACTTATTATGCATAGAACAGTGAACTTCCATAACATGATGAGGACATATTTTTGTCCTTGAGGAATATTTTAAATGTTATGTGTCAACTTTAACATTATGGGAAGGCTTGGAGGACCATGTCCCCAGAGCAGCAATTTCTCTTCCAAGTGGCATTCATCTTTCCTAGAAGTTTATTCTCTGTCTCTATCCCTGCCTCTGTCTCTTTCTGTGTCTCTGTGTCTCTGTCTCTATTTGTTTCTCTCTTTCCCCCATCTCCCCATCTCTCCTTCCTACCCCAACCCTCCTCCTCCTCTTTCCCCTTCTTCCTCTATGCCCACTGTGTGATCAGTATCCTTTATGTCTGTGCAGCATAATATGAAGACTGACTCCCATTTGCCCTCTTTTCTCATAGACCAATAACAAAGCATTCTGACCACGGGGGCCACATTTTCAATGGCTGCAAAATCTCTGGTGGTGGTCAGGAGTTTGGAAAAGCTACAGTCCCAAGACACTCAATCAAGTCATTCAGCCAGTGGCATTTCACATAATGCTGCATGATTAAAGACTACGAAGGTTAAACATTCTAACCGCACACATATGCCTAGCAGTGGTCTTTTGGAAACCTCTATTCTGAGGAACCATCTGGACATTCCAGGTGATCTCCATGCCTACTGATGGGAGCTTACTCCATCACATATAACAGTTAGGGCAACCCAGCAGAGAGTGCATTTCACATCCCCCTTTTGTTTCGAGTTCTGTAAGAAGAGCCAAAGGCTGACTTCACTCCCATCAACAGGCTATTAAGTCATACAAGAGTAAGGGTCCCAGCTATAGGAATTAAGCTCTTGCTCTGGAGCCCTTTGCAAATGCAGATTTTTACTGAGACTCGGGATAAGAAACCAAAGTTACAGAAGGATCCACTTCAGCTGGATTCAAGGGGAAAAAAACTTCCAAACAGCACAAACACTATGAGATTTGCAAGGGTTCTCAAGTGATCTGAATAAGTTATTCATGAAACCAGAGTTGAGCCAGGTCTCGGTGGTTATCTATCTTCACATTTTCATCACAACAGAAAAAGGCTCAGAGTTGAGGCTGGCAGTTTGAGTCCAGAATCTCAGACTTCTGATGCTCAGGGTAGAAAATTTTCCTAATAAATAATCTAGATATGTTCAAACAAGGCTATGTAATTATTGGGAATACTGTAACTATGTTTGAATGTTTAGATGGGAAAAATGTGTCAAGTACTATTGCTCTGTCTAAGAATTTATGATAGTGATGCTATGTATGACAGATAAATGGTATTAATGTTAAGTAAACATACACTGTCTTGTAGACAGGACAAATTGTAGATCAAAGGTTTTGTGGCTGGGTCGATGTCCCAGTCCCGCCACTAGAAGCCTTGCCTGGTTACATAAGATGGCTGGTTCAGGCTCCATAACCCCCATTTCTAGGAGTCTTCACTAGGATCACCCTCATAGATTCCAGGGAGTTTCCTTTGCACTGTTTCTACATCACTCCCAAAATGCACCCCCCCATTTCCAGTCCTGTCCCCCTGTATTCTCTCTATTCTATTCTATTCAAAAGTGTATATCACACTTTATTGTCACTTGCCTATAATTTCTGTGTACACATACATTGCTAGCGACTAGTAAAATATTGCAAATACCTACACTTACCTGAGTCCCATTCACTCTGTCACTAATAATGTCTAAAGCTAATATGCTGTTACCTATTTCTAATAAATAGTTAGACGTTTTGATTTTCTTGTCCTTGATCAGGATGAACTGAATCTTAAAGAGAAATACCTCACCCTATGAAGATATCCTGTAATCAATTCGTATATTTGGAACCTGAACTGAGTTCATCTTTGCTTTATTTTTATTAGTCCTTTCTATTTTTATTATATACATTCTTTCCCTTCATTTCTTCCAGATCTATCATACCTTCCTTGCTCACCCCAAATTGTATCCTCTTTATTTATTTTTTTGATATAGACAAATAGTTTTTTGTTTGTTTGTTTTTACTACCACCACAACAACAGCAACAAAAATACAATAAGACAAGGCAAAAGCCTTCACACTGAGCCTGGACAAGGCAACCCAATAGGAGGAATAGAGTCCCAAGAGCAGGCAAGAATCAGAGAAGCACTAGCTACCACTCTTAGGAGACCCACACCAACACCAAGCTAACAGCCAAAGCGTACAGAGAGAGGAGCTGGTGCAGACCCATGCGGGTCCCGTGCTTGCCAGGTTCGTCTCTGTGAGCCCACATGAGGCCTGTTGAGTTGATTCAGTGGGTCATGTTCTCCCGGTATCCTCCATCTCCTCTGACCCCTAAGGTCTTTCTGCCCCCTCTTCCACAGGGTTTCCCAAGTTTTCAGGGGAACCTCCAATTTACACACTCTCTCTCCCTACATAATGTCTGGCTGTGGGTTTCTGTGTCTGCTTCCATCGGCTGCCTGGGAAGCTTTATCCGTCGTTGTATCCTGTTTTTGGGGGGGAAAAATCCAAAACAGTTTGTGCTGTCCCTGTACTCCTGGATGTGTGGTCTTTTCACTGCAGCACAGACAAATGATGAGGGGCGCTCCTCTTAAACAACACTGCTGTTTAACTTCCTTGTCCCAACACCTACGAATGGCCAATAGATCCTTATCTAGGGTTGGATGGTTTGGCTCACTTCCCCTCTCTATGCTAGAATTTTGTCGGAGTTTGTCTTTGTTGTTACTGTCTCAGCATCTCTTTATTTTCTCCTTTGTCTTACAAAACTTTCTCTGTATTTTAATTCCTTCCTTGCCTCTGTTGCCCTATACAGTGTCCAGAGACAGTGTAAACCTCATCTCATGCAACAAAAGAGATGCCGGAGCAGAAGCTTCTCCCTGTCTTCCCTACTGAGAAACGCCAGAGCACACCTGAAACAGAGTTTAAACCTTCGGGATTTCTTCATACGTTAAGGAGTTGACTCGTGAGTAGCTAACATGAAGACAGTGTTGATCTATTATAATTCACAATCCCGAGGCTGAAAGAGGCTTCATTGCTTACTATCTATCTACACAGCACGGTTTGTACAACTTAACAGCGCGGTTTAATGAACTTGGTTGGCAGTCTGTTATTGCTTTCTTTCCTTTGTTAGATATAAGAAGTGAGGAGCACGGGGTCATTATTTGGTGTGACCTCTTTCTTATGTTTAATATGACAGGCACTGAACCTGAGTTGAAATCACAGCTGTGACTTGGTTGTTACTCAGTAATAGGTTTGGGTCACATAGTCATCTCTCCAATTGTTTTCTTTGGTTTGAGAATGAAAAGGCAACTTAGAGTTAAACAAATTAATTTTGTTTTGGTTTTCTGATAGTTCAAATAACTGTATAGAGAAGGACTCAAAATGGTTAATCTAATTGAAATGTCTAAGCTACTAGACCTTTCAAAAGTGGGTGGCTTCTACAGACATGCAGATAATAGTTTAATGATATGTATTATCTACTTCAAAGTTGTTAGACTTGAATAAACAATGGCTCCAAAGCTATCAGCCAAACCAAAAGTGTGCTGGTGTTAAAAATGCTGAAAGCTTCCATTATGCATTATTTTAGCCAGGGTAATGAATATTGGATGATCCCTTAATGTCGAGGTAGTTTTGTGCTATTTTGGTGCCTATTATTCTTAGAGGAACCTTAAGTAATGTAATGGAGCTAAGCTTAAATGCCATTTTGCTGTTTGGGTCATTATTTTCCACTTTTTGCCTGCACTTCAGATTATATGAAATCCTGCTGAGGCAAGAAGACGCTTTTTAAAGATACAATAGAGGCGATGTTAACTCAGAGCAAATCTTCCCTAAGAGAAACAAAAGGCATTTCACACCTGGTTTCTAATTACACTATAGGTGTGTCAAACTTGCCAAGTACATGATTCCTGGAAGAAAGAAAATGGGTAAGAATGTATTTTTATACAAAGAACTTTAAGGATCACAGGATTATGTGTCTTCACATTTATGTGTACATACAGCCACAGCCTTACCTCTCTCAATTCTGCATCTGTGGGGTCCAGATGCTAAAGTAATATTTAAAATTTCAGTGTTGAGTTTGCACAGACAATAACTTCTCACTTAGTATTTACAGTATATTATGAATATATAAATACACTATATATATATCATATATAGTGTAAATATATAGTGTAAACTATATAGTGTAAATAATTTAGAGAAGGTTTAATACATACATTAGTAGATGTTTATAATTATATGCAAACATTATACCATTTAGGAAAAGGACTGAGGATTATGTATCTACAGAAGGCTCCTGGAGCCAGCCACCAACAGATAACAAAGGACTGAATATAGTAAAAAGAGAGCTGGATATTGAATGCCTGATATGTGCCAAGACGAGACACCTCACACTATATCTATATCTATATCTATATCTATATCTATATCTATATCTATATCTATATCTATATCTATATCTATATCTATATCTAGATAGATAGATAGATAGATAGATAGATAGATAGATAGATAGATAGATAGATAGATAGATAGAAAATCTTTTCAAAACAACTCAATCTTATAAAATGCAGTCATGGCTACAAAACCTGTTCAACCGTCTTGTTTCTCAGCGTTCCCCACCAGCCAGCTACTGACACTACTAACCAGAGGAAGTCCTACAATAACACCTGCTTCTGCTATTCCCATGCCTGACGAAGGCCTGATGGCCTTCTGAATCTCGCTGTGCTATTCAGCAGTTTCACAGTCCATGATTCAGATATGAGGGAGTCCCCTCCTCTCTTCATCCCCAGTCCTCAGTGGGCATTTCCACATTGCTTCAATGTGTCCCTGTGACATCTGTCATCACTTGCACAAATCATGCTCGACGATACTATTTACTTTATTAATGAATTCCTTTTGACAGCCACCAAGATCCACAATGCTTATTTGGGAATTGCATCCCAAAGTATAGAAAAACCATGCCTGCCCATCACCTTATTCCTAAAAAATCATAGCTGAGCCCTATCCCCACATGGTGATTGCCTGGCTACCATGTGACCCTTCTCTCCTGACTTGATCATTTTCTGTAATTATGCCACTTGGTCTGTTTCTCCAGTAACCATTCCTATTTATATAGATGCGAATAAGCATATTGATATTTTTAATATGTTAATAAATATAATTTTTATAAAGATGTGCCTTTATGATTCTGCATTCTTACTTATTTTGAGATAAATATGTCCCAATCTCATTAAAGTTACTCTTTTCTTTATTCTACAACCCCATGTTATTGGTGGTAGGTACCAACCACTGTGAATTTTAACAATTGAATCAGAAATTCAAAAAAGTTACCCCAGTTTTTCTCAAAATCAAGCTTCTGTTATTCACTTTATCAACACGCAGTCTCTGATGTCTACACATCCACTTGGACTGAAAAAAAGTACTCCTTCATTTTATTATAAAGAAAGAGAAGCACTGAACAATAAAATCATATCTTTACCAGAATAGCTCATTCTGCAGACTTGTGGCTTATTTGGTGACACTTGGGTGGTGGTGGTGGTTTGTAGCATGAATCTTAAAGGTATTATTAATAAAATCAAACTCAGAGCCAGGTATTGGGGTGAATGCTGGAAGATCAGAGAAGCAGAACAAGCCACACCTCACCAGTTCCTCAGCTGATCCTGTTTCCTCAGACTGGAAGCCTCTCAGTCCTCATCCAGAATGAATCTCAGCTGAACTATGACTCAAAAGCCTAAAAGCTTAACCAGCCAAATGCTTCTAGTTTCTGGTCCTCACACCTTATATATCTTTCTGCTTTCTGCCATCACTTCCTGGGATTAAAGGCTCACTTCCTGGGATTAAAGGCGTGAGTCACCATGCTTGGCTGTATCCTTGAACACACAGAGATCCAGGTAGAGCTCTGCTTCTGGAATGTTAGGATTAAAGGCGTGTGCTACCACTGCCTATCCTCTATGTTTAATATTGTGGCTGTTCTGTTCTCTGACCCCCAGGTAAGTTTATTAGCATGCACAATATTTCAGTGAATACAATACCATCACTGTGTTTGTTTTTTTTTTAATGCCTTTAAAAATTGTTAGTTCTTTGACAATTTCATCCATGTACATGATGCGCTGTGATGGTCCTCACCTCTTCTTAAGTTGCTGTCACCCCTGTTAATTCTCACTTTCCCCTCCCTGTCTTTTTCCCAGGTTCATAGCTTTTGGTTTGGCTCTGTGGTCCATTTCTTTTAACCAGGGCCATCTGAATAAACACTGAACTGAACTGTCCATTGGAGCCTGTCAGGGAAACATATTTCCTTTTCTATTACTTTTTTTTTGTTCACTTGTTTTGTTTGATAGCTATTTTTTTTTTTTTTTTTTTTTTGGTTTTTCGAGACAGGGTTTCTCCGCGTAGCTTTGCGCCTTTCCTGGAGCTCACTTGGTAGCCCAGGCTGGCCTCGAACTCACAGAGATCCGTCTGCCTCTGCCTCCCAAGTGCTGGGATTAAAGGCGTGCGCCACCACCGCCCGGCTATTGATAGCTATTTTTAAAGTCGTGGATTTCTTTTTCTTTAGTTATTTTGTGTACTTTTCCCAGTGGTATTTTAGAATTCACTCTCAAATTTTTATATGATTGGTTTTCTCAGTCCAACTTCCATATTCCATGTCACTCTGAGTCATATGTTTCTTTATTTTTTTTAATTTTACTATTTTAAGTGTATGAGTGTTCTGCCTGCGTAGATGTCTATGCACTAGGTGTGTCCTGTCCACAGAGATCAGAAGAAGGCATTAGAAGGAACTGGAGTTACAGAAAATTGTGCTTTGCCATGCAGATGCTGGAAATCAAACCCAGGTCTTCTGGAAAAGCAGCCAGTGTCCTTAGCCACTCCCCAGCTCATACGTTGTATGTTTCAATGGTAACACTATCCAAAGAACTGGAATTTTTTGAACATTTTATTATAGGGTTAGATTTTATTCTGACCATAAAGGAACTTCATAGCTCATTACTCACTTCCTCCCCTTTCCCTGTTTCTTATCCCAGCCTAGCTTTTTGGGAAAGTCACAATTAACAAGGGGGATAATTAGACCAGAAAGTATGGAAGAGTCATTTGTTATTGAGTCATTTGAATACATCATCTGTAGTTGGAAGATTTCCTGTGGCCTGCCTGGCTGCGGCCGGGACAAATCTCTCACCCACAGTCCCACAGCCTTTTATAAAATAATCACACAGAGGCTTAATGTTATTTATAACAGTTCAGCCATTAGCTCAGGCTTATTACTGACTAGCTCTTATATTTAAATTAACCCATAATTTTTATCTTTGTTTAGCCATGTGGCTTGGTACCTTTTCTTAGTTCTGCCTTGTCATCTTGCTTCCTCTGTGTCTGGCTGGTGACTGTTGACTCAGCCTTCCTCTTCCCAGAATTCTCCTTGCCTGCTTATCTCACCTATACTTCCTGCCTGGCTATTGGCCAATCAGCATTTTATTAAACCAGTATACAAAAGCATTATTTCACAGCAATCATCCCTTTGGGGCTGGTGGCCCAAGCAGCAAGTGCAATTCATAGATTTAAAGGTCAAAATAATGGTTACATGGAACGGGAAATACCAAAATCAGAGTGGTCTAGATGAATCTTCTAGCAATCATTATGTTAATAAAGAGAAGATTGCTGCAAAAAATGTTTCTACCAATTAGCGGGTTTTTATCAATTAGTGTGCATATTACAAAGACATATAAATATAAAGTATGTTAAACAGCATCAATTATTTTTCCAATTTTCTTCAATGCTTTGTTTTTCTACCTCATTATTACTTTTTTGTAGTCAGTTCTAGTATGAAAACTTAATTCTTTACATGAGTTTCAACATTTGCTCACACATTATTTAATACCTCTGATTTGATTAAAATTATCAATAAATTGAGTTTTAAGGACACCCAGGAAGGAATAAGCCAGGCAGTTGGAAAGGAACCATCCAAAGATCTAATGTATACATTTTGTTAAAAAGTTAACAATGTTGTTTGTGGTTTCAAATAGGATATACAAGAAAAGTAAAACAAAATAAAGAGCAATAAAACTGTAGTATATTAGAGTTACAAAGTCATCATTTCATTGTAATTTGAGAGCCTTCCACTCAAGGACAGCAATCTTTACACATTTAACAAAGTTGCAGACAACTCCTTTCAAATAAAGCAAATCTAGAAAATTCAGAAGTTTTCTGTCACTTTAGTTTCATAATAAGCCACAGACGTGACCTAGAAGCTATCATCCTTTGAGTGCTTCAGCCCTCCGTAGTTGTTGTACCAACCTTTGTCCCAAAACTCAGATGAAACTCAGAAATCATAAAACATTATCCTTAAAGCTTTGCTTTCAATTCTCACAATTACTTAGCTAAATGCATTTTTTGAAAAAACAATTCCACAATTTTAACTTGACCAAAACTCCATTTTGAAAAATGTAACATTTGAGGAAACTCCCCTTCTGGTTTAACTTATTAATGATTAATTTCACTTTAATAAAACAACCTCATTTTAAGAAAAATAATATAACTTAAATACAAAGTTAGCAATGTAGAATACATTGCTCTGAGTTTTACTCCAATAATCTAATATTCACTAGCACCCAAAGAAATATGTTCTTGATTCCCCATTCTGAAAGAAGTGGATTTTGTAGTTTGAATGAAATTGTCCTTCCTAATCCCGTAGGAAGTGGCACTATTAGGGGGTGTGGCTTTGTTGGAGTAGATATGGCCTTGTTGGAAGAAGTTTGTTATTGTGGAGGTGGGCTTTAGGTTTCCTGTGCTGAGACACCTAGTGTCTCAGTCAACTTCCTGTTGTGGCAAGATGTAGCACTCTCAGCTCCAGCAACATGTCTGCCTGTACACTGCCATGTTCCCCATCAAGATCATAATGGACTGAACCTCCGAAACTGTATGCAAGCCACCTCAATTTAAAATGTTTTCTTTATAAGACTCAATGTGGTCATAGTGTCTCTCCACAGCAATGAAAATCCTAAGACAGTAGGAAATGGAAGTTATGCAGCAGATTCCAAGGCAATGCCA